CTTCGAAGCTGTACAATGGTTTTGAGACGAAGTTCATGAAATGATCCGAATATACCTTTGCCACATGACTTATCGATGACAGGGCTTCACCACGGAAACCGTACGTCTTCATTGATTGTAAATCTTCAAACTTGGATAGCTTCGAAGTGGTGAAACGTTCACAGACGATGTCAAGGTCGTCCTTCTGAATGCCTTTACCATTGTCCTAAAATTGATCAAATTCACAGAATTCAAAATGGAACAGCGTCTTCCAATAATGACTGGTTTATTCATTTTGACTCTCCAGACCTGAACTTGCAACAGCGCCAGTCCACCATCTTTGACTGTGACCACGATCTCCGTTGCACCAGCGTCCAAACTGTTCTCTATCAACTCTTTTACTGCATTAGCAGGTCGCACTACAACCTGGAAAAAGCAGGCTCGAATGTGACCATAACAGTGAAATGTTTGTGAGAACCAAAGGATCTCCTCCAATCTGAAAAATGGCGCAGTTCAGCTTGGGGAGAGGGGTGCACCAAGTGGGATTCAGACGCTTGTACAGGTCACCTTATCAACACCTGTGAACAGGAAAGTGCTCACTCGTACCATTTCGCAGCTTCACACAGTTTACAGGTCTAACCAAAATGAGATCTTTTAGTTAACATGAAATAGCGGAAGGAATTAGCGCAAGTGCAAAGTGCCCTTTCAAGCCGAACAGCACCAAAAAAAGTTAAAACAACCTCGCCGGCAGCTATCCGATTAACGACGTCCTCGGGTAGACGCTGAATGATTCCCATTTTGTGAGTCCACAGCACACAAAACTAGTACTTTGTCGGGGCGCTGGACTTCACGCGTCTCTGGTAACAAAAGAAATGAAAACCCCATAAAGCAGTCTAAGAAATATAAGCTATAAGGGCCAAACGTGATTCACTGTTCTCTCTCCATTGGAAGAGAAGTTTAACAGGATCTTTCGAAATTCAAGTCATCCTCTGAGTCCAACCATGCGGCTTAACGTGACATTCGAAATGACTCAAAGCACTGCTACTGTCATAACTGGCAAAGGGTGCGCTCAGCTCCACGGGCAATCCTCCCTTTGTGTGAAGCTGGATCCGCAACTGCAGTAACGAGCCAATTTCTCAGCTCAAAGTGCACGGGAACAGATTTGGAGGCCGGAAGATACATATACTCGAAATCCCTGAGATCGGGTAGGCGTGGCCGCATTCTTCAACTTAACCTGAAGGTGTCTATGCTTCTGGTGAGATATTTTCATCTTGACACAATTGTTGTCGTGTCTCTGTCCAACACAGAACAAGATGACAGTTGTCCCAGACTGGAATATTCCACGAGTAACCAATTCCGTGCCATGTTCAAATGCCACGCCTACTCTGACTCAGGGATAAGGAGTGTATGTATGGTAGTGACACCAGGGCACGCCATCGCGATGTGATCATGTCCATGAAAAATGCCGATCCCACCGATCCCATGCCTACCTAACCGATTTCCTAGATTTTCCCCAATCTCTCTTACAGTTTTTCACGTTTTCAGCAAGAATTTCCCGGGCGAGCGGGGGGGGGTCGCAGCTTCTGATTAGTCATGTTTCAACTTATGCGGATACGACCCCCCCCCGTTGTCATCACCACAACGATGGCGTGCCCTGAGTGACACCCGGCTGCCGCCCTCCCATACTCCGTGCAAGCCATTCTCAAAATGCGGCACTTGCGTCCCCAAAAAATTCCCCAGCGATCACTCAATTATAGGTAGAGAACAACCAGAAGTGAGACGGCGAAGACAAGTGCTGTTTTTGGCGATGCTTAGGTGTGTGGCTGGCCCGCCCCGAGCGCAGTCGGGAGGCACAGGGCACCTGAGTGTCATACCTATGAGCCCGTTCTCGTCACATCGAAGCCAAAAAATGGCGGTCCAATCGCGGACCGATTCACCTCTCAAATGGCAAGGACCAGGATCCACGGAAGGGAATGTGCAGTTGTTTTGAAGCAATATCATACCCAGTATTATTCCTTTTGGACAGCATGGCGCATTCAGAGCAGGTGTACAGATTAAGGTAAGTGGGTGCTCCAGATTGAAGAAGTGTGGGGTCCGTGTTCTTGGGGAAGGAAAAAATTAACAAAACAGTAAAATGGTCTCCACCCAGCTGATGGGTAGGCAGCTTTCTTAAAAGATCTCACATCACACCTATCATGCCTGCCGGGGAGACTGGCCTGCGGTGTTGCCAGAGTTAATTGCTCTCTTCACTAACGCCTGACCTTTCCTCTACTTGATGATTACATCGTGATGACAATCTATTAGAGCCGATTTTTCAGCAAATTTAATAGAATTAAACGTAGAAAATGCAGAAAAAAAGATATGTTTTCATAAATTTAAAATGTGAAGAACACATTTAACCACTTAGAGCAAATAAGTGCAGACGTAAACAACATGAAATTACGGCAATTTAAATAAAAATAAAGAGCACGTATTGGAAAATTTTCGATGGTTTCATCATGAAAGGTATCCCAGATGATTTTCACTTCTAGGCTGTGTAATTATTTGAAGGTTGAATGTGTCTTGCGGAAGGGAAGTAAATGTTATCGTTCATGCTCTACTGTGCGTTACACAACAACAGTGCTAAAGATTTCCGCTAATCAGCTCGCTTAAATACTGACTAGCGACGACCTTTCTATAAGCGTTGTGAGGTCGCATAATAAGAGTTGCCTAGATTTTGATAAAAGAGTTGCCTAACAGTTGAAAGTGCTGACGGTCATATTTGACGAATTAACCTCCCTTCAGAGGGGCATCAATAGAGTCATTGCAATTACAGTTCTGAGTGAGTTCTTGACGCAAGACACATTCAACCTTCAAATAATTACACAGCCTAGAAGTGAAAATCATCTGGGATACCTTTCATGATGAAACCATCGAAAATTTTCCAATACGTGCTCTTTATTTTTATTTAAATTGCCGTAATTTCATGTTGTTTACGTCTGCACTTATTTGCTCTAAGTGGTTAAATGTGTTCTTCACATTTTAAATTTATGAAAACATATCTTTTTTCTGCATTTTCTACGTTTAATTCTATTAAATTTGCTGAAAAATCGGCTCTAATAGATTGTCATCACGATGTAATCATCAATTAGAGGAAAGGTCAGGCGTTAGTGAGAGAGCAATTAACTCTGGCAACACCGCAGGCCAGTCTCCCCGGCAGGGCCATTGCATTAGGTGTGATGTGAAGATCTTTTAAGAACACCACACCAACGCCCAGCTGATACCAATGTACTGCGATAAAGTGTGCTGGGAAAGCTCGCATGTTTATCGGCTCCAGTCAACAAGAAATAAAGAGCTATAGTCGTATTGTGATACTGGGCAGGGCACGCCAATGCGGTTTGTGATGATCGCAAAGGGGCAGAGCGGGGTCGTTATTTTGACCGCGACGGGAGTGGGGGGGGGCTGGTCGTATTGGTCTGGCGAAAGTTTTCGTGGTAGTTGTCATCTTGTTCAGCGACGGCTATAAAGGGGGGTCCGGAGTGAGGGACTGCCTAATGATCTTCCGCAAAGTCGTGTATCTCTTGTTACTATCATGGACTGTGTGTACAAATTCAAGACGTTTACAGAATCAAGGATCGTTCAAGTTGCTCCTACGGCTGTCCTTCGAATGGTATTGTATAAAATTTGCTTCTGTATGCAAACCTAATTTGTTATGATACTTAATGTATCTCCTCATGTTTCTGTGTGATCCACGATGAGCTGTGAAAGTAATCTATGTTGAATCTGCCACCCTAAGGTACCTGCCAGCCTAAGGGCATGTTCTCTTCGTTTGTCCTATAAGATATAACGGCCACCCCCGCTAAGCTCTAGAGACGACGGACAAATATCCCAGTGGATGAAGTTCCGATGCCGTTGTGTCGCGTCTGTGGTTCAGAGCAAACATGGGTTTATTAGTGGTGCTTCCACAGGTACCCTTATGGCAGACTGTCTGTTCGATTGGAATTTAGCTATTAACAAGGGGAAGGGTGTGGACGTTATTTATTTCGACTTGTCCAAAGCGTTCGATAAAGTAAATCATGAAAAGCTCCAATACAAGTTGTGGCAATTGGGTATCGAAGGCCCCATCCTTAGCTGGATCAGCTGTTATCTGAAGAATAGACACATGTTTGTCAAAGTGGGTGATACTTTTTCACAGAGTTTCCCCTGCACTAGTGGAGTTCCACAAGGTGGTGTCTTGTCTCCTCTGCTGTTTCTGATGTACACCTACGACCTTCCAGCCTGCCTAAACACTCACCCATTGGTCAGCGTTAAAATGTACGCCGATGACATCAAAATATATGGTGTCTATGACAATTATAACCATGACTGCGTTCACCGAGCGTTAACCCAATCTGTATGTAACATGATGGGGTGGGCTACTGCTTGGGGTATACCAGTCAATTTTATGAAAACTTCTGTACTTCACATAGGAAAAGCAATAGTTGTACCGTACACCGTCGACGGCATCCCCATAAGTGTTTCGAGAGAAGTTCGCGATCTTGGGATGCTCGTAAATTCCACTTTGGATTTCTCGCATCACATAGATACTATTGTTCGCAAAGCTCTCGTGACCCTCTTTGCTATCCTGAGAAATATCCGAGAAAACGACTCTTCAGTTTTACTGAAGCTTTATAAAGCATACGTCATACCCATTCTCGAATACGGTTCGCAAATATGGAGCCCTCATACTAAGAAGCTCCAGGCGAAAATCGAAAAGGTGCAGCAAACTTTTACGAGAGTTTTGATGTATCGTTGTTTTCCCGATCCTGAGTATCCGCATAGTATGCCTAGCTATCAGGAGCGCCTACACATTTTCAACCTCAAATCACTGATGTATAGAAGGGTGTTCAATGATATTATGTTTTGTTTCAAGATACTGAAAGGAGAGCTTAGGTTGAAACCCAGTAAATACTGGGTGTTCAGACCGACAAATGGTCGCACCTCCTCGTTGTCCTTACAATGTCCTAAACTGTGCAATGGCCACCGAACCAGAGTTTTCAACTCACTGTTTTTCCGTATCTCCAATTACTTCCATCAGACCTGCTGGA